GGGTGAGGATGAGTGTGAATAAGCAACTTTACATGTATGTAAAGTTCAGAATTCTAGAATTCTTAATTCTACAGATAATAGCAATGTATGAACTTTACATTTTGTAATTGTAATCGCGCAGCCCTCGTAAAATCATAAGGTCATTTCTGAAACATCTGCCACCAACATCTTAACATGCTTTAGTTTTCCCTGTTTCGTTCTTCTTGCTCACTTTGATGGATTTTCTTTTCAACTATGTGATTACTTTATCTGTATCTGTATAGTGGTTTGTCTGATTTAGTGCAGATATCCTGAAGTATTTTAGTTAATAAATAGTTTATAGCAATAATCTCAAAATACTGAGAAATTGATTTATCGTCGATTTCTTGAGCAGTTCGCAAACCTTTTATAATTCAGCCATTTTTGGGTATGAGCTTTTCGTATTTCTAAGATTGGATGGAGAATAGAGTGAAAACATAAGAAAGCGGTCTTCAATTTTTTCACGTTTTGGCTTCTGTAACAAGCTGCGAACTCGTGCAATATCTCTGAAGTCAACTAGTTTAACAATTTCTACTCCGTAACCTCACCTGAGTGGCTGTCGCCTCTTGTTCTTGCGGTGTACAATTAGTTTTTGGATGATCAGAATATTCACGTTTTCCACGTATTTCTCGTTTTTCTTCACCATTAATTATTGTATATATGAGAAAAATTGACGATGATGCTTAAGAAAGTTTAAAGAATTATGATGAAAAGCGTATCTTGATTTGCAGAATATGAGAGAAAATTCGAATTCCCTCCTTTTCTCATTAAAGGATGAATAGTGTATTGCGATCCCCACTTTTGTCACTCATCGCGCTGAGAGATATCCAGATCATTTTGACCGGCAGCTTTAGTATCACATGTAATTAATGTTACGCCCCATCTGACTGACGGTTCAGGAAAAAAGGTAAAAATCTATAACTTGCAGTCCTCCTTTTTCGCAAATCTTTCAGAATGATCACAACCCATCATAGGAAATATGTAGTATCTGCCTTACTTTGATTAGCTTGTACTGCCACTGTTGCACCACCACGTTTTGGTAGATACACAGGTATCAAGGCTAAAACGATAGTTGCTGCTAATAGCAAACACAATACCCCGAGACAGCTTAGAGCAATTAGTGGAACTGCGGAAAGCCATCTGCGATTTTTTTCTAGAAGAAATTACAATATTAATTACTTAATCCCTACTTCTGCTAACGAGTTACATACATTGTAGTTGATGAGGGCATCGCAACAGACACTGCCTCAGCTGATGGGTTCTCATGATACATTCTCCAGGCGTATGTTTGTATTTTTATACTGTTCCTAAAAGTTGATTATTTATAGCCGATAAGAAATTACTAGCAAAACAGTCGACATACGTTTGCTTTTCTGCTTTAACAATACTTTCATAAACTACTCCTGTTGAAATTGGATATACTCGTAGGTTTTATCATGTGATTGAAGAGAGTGAGAGCGTCTCTCATGCGTATTATCGGTTTTTCCTGGACTTTTGCAGATGAATATTACTGCTTCATAGTAGGGACGGAGTCAAAATTGTTACCGCTTGAATCGCTTCAAGTGCGTTCTATATTGGGGTACCTTTATTCACAGAAACGAAAAGTGATAAACGATGGAGAATAAACAAGATATTAGAGCTGCGACAAATAGCGATTTTCTTTTCTTTTCTTCTTTCTTTCCTTATACACGTTATATATAGTGTGTGCTCACGTTGCAATGTACGGTACACATATATAACATACATTAAGACTGTTGTCTGTGTAGAGTGATGTCACGTTTCCTTGTTTTCCTTAGTGTGTACGAACGTTATATAACGTTCGTAC